GTGTGTGTGTGTGAGTGTGTGTGTGTGAGTGTGTGAGTGTGTGTGTGTGTGTGTGTGTGAGTGTGTGTGTGTGAGTGTGTGTGTGTGTGAGTGTGATGAAGTAGAACACGATGAGAAGAGAATGAAGGGGCCTAGAAAAGTGTCTATTCACTATTACTTGTCTCCAAATTATTATTTTTTTTTTTTTTTTAAGTTTGAGGCAGGCTCTCACTAAATGTCGAGGCTGGCCTTGGACTCAGCTTGTGCCCCACACTGGCCCCAGACTTGTGATTCTCTAGCCCTAGCCTCCCAAGTAGCTAGTTTTACATGCCTGGCACTGTCGGGCTTATCTCGCTGTTGCTTTTGAAGACTCCTGGGAGAGGACTGAACTCTGTGATACCAAGAAATGTGCTTGTCCTTGCGTAACATTATATTAGTGGCACTTCATTTTTTTAAGATTTATTTTTATTTTATATGTCTGTAAAACACATGGGTCACCAGAGGCCACAAGAGGCCCTGGATTCTCTGGAATTGGAGTTATAGATGGTTGTGAGCTGGAAACCAAGCTTGGTCCTATGCAAGAGCAGCAAACAGTTTTAACCACAGAGCCATCTCTTCAACCATAGTTAACCAAGTTGATGATATTATTGTTTTTATTCAGTCTCATGGATTGTTTTAATCATTCACTTTGTATTATGTGTTCTATTAAAGATGCCCTAAGACTGAATTGTACTGGGCTATAGATGTTCATTTATTTATGTTATAGAAATTTTCTACCCTAAAGCAACACAAATCTCTTTCACTTCTGGAAGTCAAAAGTATAAAACCAGTCTTCCAGGGCCAAGGTGCAGGAAGGTTTGGGTATGGCTGGAGCAAGGGTCTCTCTCTGTCTTTCCCTGTTCTTGGCCGTCTCCTTTCTTGGCTTGTGGACTGTGCGTGATTCCAACTCCTGCTTCCTCTCCTGACTATGACCCTCTTGCCTTCCTTCTACAAAGACTAATTACATTAGGATCACACCCGGGAAATGCAGCCCAATATCCTAATTTTGTTACATCTCTAATACCTGCTTTCTCACATGGAGAAAGCCTCTGTGGTTAAGACTTGGGCGTATCTGAGTGACCTTGTGCTATAATCCCTCCCACACAGTGACTTACTGGTGATTGGTCATATGATTACATACATCAGGAGAGCCAAGATAATTTACAAGACTATTAGAATTAATAATGAGTTTGGAAATATGATTCAGTTTGGGTTCTTTTTGTTTTGTCTTGTTTTTGCATGGTTCATACACAAAAAGCTGAAAAGTATAATTTTAAGCAAGTTTCACAACTTGAAAAAAACTACAATATATTGCAAATAAATCTACCAAGCAAGGTATGGGTATCTTATAATTTTAGCACCTGGGTAGCTGAAACAGGAAGGTCACCACAATTGTGAAGCTACTCTGTGAAGCTACATTTGTGAAGCTTTGCAGAAAAGTCCTGTCTCCAAAACCAACCAACCAACAAACAAAAACATAACATCAGGAATAAAATCCCAAACACTTCTAGTGAGCTGTTTCACACCTCTATGAGGAAAATTTTACAAGATCATCGGGTGGCTCACTGGATAAAGTAAAGGTGCTTTCTACCAAGCTTAAGACTCGAGTAAAATCCCTGGAACATGTGTGAAGCAGAAAACAAACTTAATTCAAGTTGTCCTTTGACTTACACATGCCTGAGTAAATACAAATTTTTTCTTAATTGTGAAAAGCAATGGTTCCAGCATGTTGGGACCTTGGAAGTTATTTCTTGGTCCGAATAATGAAAACAAAAAACAAAAAACCGGAAAGTCAGCAGCTCTTCTTGTGTCTGTCAGAGAAGTATATTAGTTTCACTGCAAAAGAAAATTGGACCATTGGCAAGTATATTTTAATTGCCTGGCATCCTCTCATGTTTGGAAGTAAGACAGACAAACTTTTATTCTAAGTATCAAGAGCTGTGTTTATCCAGTTCTGTTTGATGCCATGGCAACACTGAAGAAGCATCATCCAGAACTAGATTAACACCATAGTAGTCTTTACAGTCAAACAGACGTGGGTTTCTGTTCTGGTTTCTGAAATGTGTGACCCTGAGCCCATTGCCTAAGCTCTCTGAACCTGGGTTTTGTCATCTGCAAAATGGAAATAATAACCTATAAAACTGTGGTGAATCAGTGAGGCACTGAACAGGCACATACACTGCATATCATGTCACCTGGTCACCTGGCATGTGTCCGTCACGGGGACTGATGAAATCTTAAAGCCTCGTCATCACCACTCATTCTAATAGTAGGTTTGAGCTTGACACTAGTGTGGAAATAACAGGTGGTTTCCATGTGTGCCTTGGGCAACGGTAAGGACCATGTCACCCATCTACTGTTTTAGGACTTGTGACATATGGAACAGGAAGAAAGGTTAATACTCCAAAGCATTTGGGGCACCCTGAAGTAGAGAATAAGTTAAACCTGCTACAAAAAGCCACTTTTCACATCTTTTACTTCTGTTATACATCTGGTAGACCATTAGGTTCCTTTGTTTGACATTTTGCTTTTCTCCACTTGTTTTCTGGTTCTGCTTATGCCCTTTGTTTTCTCCATTGCCATTTGACCATGTTTTTTTGTCCACCGACATAAATGAAACCATTTCCTGTACTAGGACCAGTACTGAAACAAATACAAGATAGAAGACAGAAATTGGGTATTTGTTTAAGGCAGTGGTGTTTCTCATGCGATATTTGTGCTGTTTTGTTAAAGCTTATAGATTTTCAGTGGAAACTGGGCATGGCTGTGAGCTCTGACCAATGTAGATCGCTCAAATATCCATATGTGGCGGTGATGCTCAAAGTGGCAGACCATTCTGGCCAAGTAAACAGCAAGTCCATCGAAATGACAATTCCACAGTTTCAGGTTTGTAGTTTAACTCACTGAATTTAAGTATCACTTCTGTTGCAAAAGCTGTATACAGGCTTTCTTAAGAGGAAATGTTATTTACATGCAAGTTGATGTACTTTAGATCATACTAAAAAAAAAATCTAAAATTATTTTCTCTGAGAGTTGGTAAGTTTTTTTCAATAAGATGTATTGATTTGTGTGTAGTATCCTTTAATACTGTTAACAGTTTTCGATGAATGCATTTAGGAATATTTCATCTTCTCTACAGGGTATTTACTCTAACTTCTTACTATTTTCTTTAGGTTTAATAATAATTTTAAGCAAAAGTAATCTTCTGTGGATAACATTGACATTGGGTTTGTAGACTGTTTACAAAATGCAGTTCAGAACTGATACCCATTGATGGGCCTTAGTAGCTCGAGATTTAAGTAACTCAGTTTCTGCTTCAACTTAGGCATTCATATTGACATTATTACTATCATCTATCCAAGGAAGAAAACTGGAGTGTCTTAGTTAGGGTTTTCATTGCTCTAAAGAGACAGCAAGACCATGGAAAGTCTCATAAAGAAAACGGGTGGCTTGCTTACAGGTTCAGAGTTCAGTCCATTGTCAGCATGGTGGGGACATGGTGGTATGCAGGCAGATGTGACGGTGGGTACATCCTGGCTTGCAGGCATCAGGAAGTTGACTGACATACTGAGGGAAGCTTGAGCAAAAGAGACTTCAAAGCCTGCCCCTACAGTGACACACTTCCTCCAACAAGGTCACACTCCAAATAGTTCTACTCCCTTCGAGGGCTATTTTCTCTAAAACTACCACACGGAGTGAACATTAAGTCCAATTTCCTTTTGAATGTATATTATGAGAGATGCTTATTCCTTAGCTGATTTAACTGGCATGTACAATTTTGGTTTGGTTGCTGCAAGCTATTCAGTAGCTGAAGCAGTTCTCAAAGGAAAGTTGAGCACTCCAGAAAAGCAACCATAGTGAATGAAATGGAAATAAAAAGTTAATTTTTTGAAAAAGATTAAAACTACATTGGTTCTTGGTTTCCTTTTTTGTTATTTGTTTCATTTGGGGTGTATGGTGTTTTGTATCTGTGCACCACATACATACATACTATCCACTGAGGCCAGAAGAGCACATCAGATCCCGTGGGACTGGAGTTTCAGACAGTTGTAAATGGCCACGTAAATGCTGGAAATCAAACCCAGGTTCTCTGGAAGAGCAGGTGGTGCTTATAACTGTGGAGCCGGCTCTTCAGCCCTGCACTTCCCTTTTTGTGTATAATGTGGGGATCACACCTACGGCCTTGCTCATGCGAAGTAGGTGTTCTATATCTAAGCCAAGTCTTTCCCTCCCCATCCTGGGCTTCTGGAAAAGTCATATACCATTGTATGACCTTTGAGTTCCTCTTTATAAACTGTATTTTAGGGGGCTCATGATAGACAAGACTACACACGTGTTCTTACTAATGTTGATAAGTGAAGGAATGGGGTGTGGGAAAAGGAAGTATAGTTCGGAGTCATCCACTGAATCTGAAAAACCAGATCAGCTCACGCATTTCAGTCATTCCCGTGTGCAGGCCCTTCCTTCTTCTGTGCAGTACACTTCTACGGTTTTTTCTTCAGGAGTAAGTAAATTAGTAAACAGATTACGTTTTCCCCGAAGCATTGTTGAGGTACAATTGATAAATAAAAATTACATGTTTTCAATGTGTACAGTGTGATTTGGTAAAAATACATGTTGGGCATTGGCTGTCCGTGGAGCTAATTTATCACCTGCATCACACAGTTTGTGTAAATGTGTGTGCACTGAGAACATTTACAATCCCTCTCACAGTCTCACAATGTGCACTGTGACTGTACTCGGCATTCTACGCATCAGCTCCTCAGCACTTTGCTAGCTAAGTCAGTGCCCTTAGCCAACATCTTCACTTTCTCCTACCACCAGCGCCTGACAACCTCCTTCCATTTCCAGTGTCTGAGGTCGACGTTCTTAATATAAGTGAGATCATACAGTGTCCGTCTTGTGGTGTCTGATTTGTCTTTACCATAGTGTCCTCTGGGGTCACTGTGTTGGAAGTGGCAGGATTTCTTTTATAGCTGAGTGTATGTATATGCCTGTGCGTACAATGGGACAAATAGTGACTGCAAACATGTGGATGTTGCATGCAACTACCATGTATACATGTAAGGAATTTGAACATCTGCAGATTTTGCTGTCCACGGTTTGCCGGCCTTCTGTGCCAGTGCCATGAGGGTACCGAGACACCGTCAGAAGTTGACGTACATGTGTAATGTTTCCTTCAGGAAACAGTTCTTCCTGTTGGGTTTTTTAGCTGTGGTCTTGCTGGGGTTTGTCTTAGATTTGCTGTGTATTCTCTGTCCTCTTTTCTAGGAGTATTTGTTTCTCAGTGATCTTCACTGAGGATGTAACATTAAAATGCAGACAACTTATGTGGTGGTTATATGTAACGAAAGGAACTATGTAGATAGACTATAAATTCATATTTTCCTCTTTTTCCCCAGAATTTCTACAGACAATTCAAGGAAATTGCTGCTGTAATTGAAACGGTGTGAGAACTGATTCGTGATTCTAAAGTAATGGACTCTACCATGCAGAAAAGAACTACATATGGATCAAAGGATATTTATACAATGAAAATTGCACTTCTGGGGCAGGAGAGATGGCTCAGAGGTTAGGAGCACTGGTTGCTCTTCCAGAGGGCCCAGGTTCAGGTTCAGTTCCCAGCACCCACGTGGCAGCTCACAACTGTCTGTAACTCCAATTCCAAGGGATTCTACACCCTCACACAGACTTCTATGCAGGCAAAGCACCAATGGGTATAAAATAAAAAGTTAACTAAAAAAATTTCACTTCCCATTTTTTTCCCAATAACTTCTTAAAAAATCTGATATATTCAGATTATTTTAGTGGTGACCAAGGCTTTTCCTAGTCAATAAGCTAAAAGTGTGTTGACTACTAATGTTTGTATGTGAAATTTTATCTTAACAGATATCTGAGTAAAGGATACTTTTAAATGTAGCACAGTTTTGTATATTAGAAAATTTTCAAATCTTATTGATACAGATTTAACTATGAATAAAATCTTGTCTAGAACTTACATGAAGTTAAGAAAGTGATCGTTGATGAAAGCTACTGGACAAATTCTGTTTTATAACATTCCCCTTGAAATAATTAAAGGAATTATTTGAAAGAATTGGTGAGAAAAGTGAGATTTCCTTCCGAATTTTGCAGTCAGGTTAAAGTAAACCAACCCTTCTATTAGCTTAGCATTCCACTATTTCTGCTGTTACTATTCTCGGAAAATTCATCCCCTGTAATCTGCTGTGTGCAGCACAAACCAGAGCTCCCCCTGGTGGTGTCTCCACATTTCTGCCTTCCATGTCCACTGTGCTGTGAATGGAATGGTCCGCAGAGGCTCATATGTTTGAATACTTGGTCTCCAGTTAGTGGAGCTGTTTGGGAAAGATTCGGAGGTGTGTCCCTGAGGGTGGACTTTGAGGGTTTCAAAAGTCTGTGATAGATCCAGTGACTGCCTTACGTGCACGCAGATCAGGATATGAACTTTCAACCCATGTGTGCTTGTCTACTACCTACCATGTTTCTTGCCATTATGAGCTTGACTTAGCCTCTGAAACTAAGCCAGTTCCACCCCCCGCCCCTTTTTTTGAGACAGTTTCTCTGTTTAGACCTGTTGTCTTGGAACTCCCTTTGTAGACTACACTGGTCTTGAACTTAGAGATCTGTCTGCCTCTGCCTCTCAAGTACTGGGATTAAAGGTGTGCTCTGCCACTATCTGGTTAGAAAGCCCTCTATTAAACGTTTTGTTTTTTAAGAGTTGCGTTGGTCAAGGTGTCTCTTCAAAAGCAATAGAACAGTAACCAACCAAGTGTGGTGAGCTAAAGGCTGCTTGCTTCATCATTTCTGATTCTTCACAAATTACCTCACATTGGTGGAAAGTCAACCAGAACATTCTGTTCCAGAACAGGGAACCAGATCGAGTTATGGATGGATGTGAGCCACCATGTAGGTACTGAGGTCAAGCCCAGATCCTCTGCAAAAGCAGCAGTACTAACCACTGAGCCACCACTGTAGCCCCCGATTCCCTATTTGCAAAGCAGTTACTCTCATACTGAATAGAAATTTCATCCAGGAATATGCCATGCCCTTAGGAATAAGACAAGTTGCCTCATGCATTACTTCTATCAGACTCATTGGGAAATTGTATTTCCCAGCCTTTTGCAGTTGAACTTCAGAGCCATATGACTGGGCTGAAGCCAGCAGGATCTGGTTAGAAATATCCTAAACATTGTTTTTAAATCACTCCTTAGCATTTTCCAAGCTCTGCTGACTTCAGTACTGAAATGAACTCAGAATGAACCAAAGGATGGACCCCAAATCACTGGAGGTACTTCCTTTGAATAATAATAACCTGACTTGCCTAAATAAAAGTCTCACCATGTGAGGGAGGGCAAGTCATGTTTCTTCCCTTCCAGTGACATTGCATGTAGAGGGTAATGAGGACAAAGAGACCAGTGGATTGCTAAAGGCATCCTAGAGTTTTAGTCAACTGAAGGGAGGAAAACAAGAAAGCGAGAAATTACCAATGGTAGCCATTCACAATATGCACCTCATGCATTTAAAATTCAGTTTGAAAAATCCAAGATACTTTGGAATGACCTACTAAATTTTCCTCTTTTATTTGGTTACTCTAAAATTCCACAAGTTGTGTGAGACATAGTAACGGGAAACACACATCTGAAGGAATTAACATAAAATCAGAAGACTTGAAATTCTGCAAACCCTATGCAACCACCTGCATCAAAAAGATGTGTTTGTCAAAGGATGCTGACCTAGGACCTTGCTTTCTTACTTGCTCACCCTCCTTGAAAATATTTTATGATATGATACACCCTCCAAGTGTCACACAAGCTTAGGAAAACATACAAAAAACATAAATGGCCCTAAAAAAGGATGGGGAATCAGTCTGCCCAAGGTGAAAAGTCCAGGCCCCCAGCTGTGGAATTCTTGGGAGCGGTTTGCATGTGTACAGCAATGACTTATTATCTGACACGCATGCTATGATGGGACCAGTATTCTTTCAAGCCTCTCCAGTAAGTTCAGCCAAGAGCCAAGTGGGACAAGAAGAGATGCTCCATCCCCTTAGATGCTTGGTAGTCTGACTTCAGAAATGGAAGGCATTTAGGCATCTTGGCAGCCAAAGATAGGTTTTGTGAGCCTCTGGGGCCATTGCTTCATCACTTGCATCCTTGAATTTGAAATCCACGACTTGAGAGGACTAACTGTCTTTTTAAGTCCTAAAGCCCATGACCCAATAGCTTCAGATAGCACTTATAAAGTATTTTACTTATCCCAGTAGAGTTGCTGACAACAACTCAGGCAGTGGCCAGGGCAAAAACCATCTGTAATTAGAAGAGCTACTGTTTCCCAGACTGAATTTGCAATCACCCTTACATGTGATAGTAACCATCTTTTTCTTTCCCAACTCAGGTTTTAAAAGTGAGCACATAAATGTTTAGAAGAATCACAACTTTAAGCCTGTTAATTTTGTGTTTAAAGAATTATACATATGTAGTTTTAGCTGTAATTTAATGATTTATCAGGAGTTTAGCCTTCTTTGCCACATAATTGAGTAAGTGATCCAGATTTGAGGATCTAAGGTGAGACTTTGCTCAACTTCAATACGGTTATAAAAGAATTAAGAATCCTTGTGTGTGTGGGGGGAGCCAGAGCCATTCACCAAGACGGTGAATCAGGACAGCAGCGACCAGGTAAAATTAAATCTATACGTGTGAAAAACTGGGGCAGTAATTAGAACGAAGGAGTCTGAGACTGAACTGTGGCTCTTAGGCACACGCTGTTGGTGATGAAGTAGATGTATGGATTTTGAATTTGTAATTTTCATATTATTCTTAAAATAATCTTTTTGTAAGTTTGGTTGTTGAGGTGAGGGGAATCTTACTATGTAGCCCAGGCTAGCCTTAGTTTGCTATATAACCCAAGCTAGAACCTAATTCACCCTCCTGCCCCAGCTACCTGAGCTCTGTGATTGCAGGTATGTGCACCACATCTGGACCCAAAATGGACTTTCAGATTCAAGTGCCCTGAGAATGGAAATTATCCTTTAGAGAATGAATAACCTATGTCCAAATGACCTACAGAGTAAAAGTCATCAGAAGAAAAAGCCAACTATGAAATTAGAAAAGATAGTTAAAAGGTATACATTTTGATAGCAGTTAATACCCGAAAATATAAAAAAAAAAACACCAAAAACAAAACAAATAAAACCACCAAAAACCCATCAACCCAAAAGCAAAAGAACAAACACGCCAACTAACAGTGGGCAGTTGATTTGAGACATTTCTTTAAAGAAAACACAGCAACCAACAAGAATATAGGAAGATGTTTGGCATGGTAAATTACCAGAGGAATGCAGGTCAAAACTCCAGAGGTGGCTCAGCATGTAAGAACACTAGCCATTCTATCCAAGGACCTGGGTTCAATTCCCAGCACTGACATGGCAGCTCACAACCCTCTGAAACTCCAGTTGCAGAGAATATGACAACCTCTTCTGGCATTTGAGAGCACCAGGCACACACACAGTACAAAGACACACATATAGGCAAATACCCATATGTGTAAAGATAAATATAAAAAATTAAATTTATAATAAACTTTTTAAATTCATATTAACCTTAGTGATGATCACTAAGGTTGTTTGATTTTATTTCTTTGTTCTGACTTAACCATCCCAGTGATTGTCCTCACTGTAGCAATCAGTTCCAAGCCCTTTGTCCCTGGAATCCCCTCCTCCTGCACTCAACAACTACACCAAAGATAGAGGGAAGGAGTCAATAGATTAAAAGAGTTCTCCAGTGGCAACACAGAAATCTTATTTAAATTCTAGTTCAAACACTGTAAAAGAAGTTATGGGACAATATTTATAACAGCAAATTGTTATTTTGGTCTATGACAATTGTATTACAGCTTTAAGAAAATGATTATGATCGGTCAGTCATAGTGCTACATGCCTTTATTCCAAGAACTCAGGAGGCAGAGACAAGCAAATCTCTTGAGTTTGAGGCTAGCCTGGTCTACATAGTTCCAGGCCAGCTCAGGCTATATAATGAGATCATATCTCAAAAATATATAAATAAGTGCTACCTTAGCTGCAATGGTTTGGGGAATGGGCATTGGGAATGGGTAAAGTCCAGGTGTTTAGAGGCTTAGGTGGTAAGTCATCCCATTAACAACTGCCAACATTTGGATGGTAAATTCATTGAGCTGAGATACTACTGAGTTTTTCTTTATATGAAAAGTTACATAATAAAATTTGGTTACATTCTGGACATTACTATATCTTATGAAAAAAATCTAAAGATGAGCATTTTTAGCTTATACATATATTGTTCATATTCTAATGGTTTGTCCTGATGTTTTTGCTCTTTGACTCTTTTGCTCCTTGGGGGTCTGCCACCCAGCACCTAGATGAATACACATGGATGCATATTCTCTCTTAAGAATGCCCAGCCTTAGCTTGGCTTGTTTCTTGCAAACTTTTCTTAAATTATCCCATCTATCTCTTGCCTCTGGGCTTTCACCTTTCTCCATTTCGGTATACCTTTCTTTACTTCTTACTCCATGATTAGCTATGTAGCTAGGTGATTGGCTCCTGGAGTCCTCCTCCTCATCCTGATCCTTGGTTTCTTTCCTCTAGATTTCTCTTCCTATTCTCTCTCTGCTTGCCAGCCCTGCCTCCTCTTTCTCCTGCTTTGCTACTGGCCGTTCAGCTCTTTATTAGACCAATCGGGTGTTTTAGATAGGCAAAATAGCACAGCTTCACAGAGTTAAACAAATGCCACATAAAAGAATGCAATACATCTTTGCATCATAAAACAAATGGTCCACAACATAAACAAATGTAACACATCTTAAAATAATATTCCACAACAATGGCTGGAGATAGGATTTAGGGCCGCTTGTGTCATGTTATTGGTCTGAATCATACATGCTGCATAATTGCAGTGAGTTTTGGTCCAGATGACTTATGTTTTGTTTGGTATGCATGAATTGCTAAAAGCTTTCTCCGAAGTTCAACAATGACAGAAAATGGTGCCTGCTTGACTCCAGCAAGCTTCCAAAAGTAGTTTTATATTCAGATCATTTATAAGCACT